GGGATGTAGCAAGCAAAAACGTACTTTAGTAACAGTTAGCACTTACTGCCTACGCCAACTCTGTGCCGTGTGTTGTCTGAACCATTTACATGTGTTCACTCGTTCTCTTCTCCCCTTCCTTTGGGGGAAATGCCATTAGTACCCACATTTTACAGATAAGTAAACTGAGATGCAGAGACTTGAAATGATTCTCCCAGAGTCACATAGCTGGCAGGTGGCGGGCATAGAGATGTTTTAGTCTCAATATATAAATGGTAGACGGAACTAGGGGACTCTAAGGGCTCTCCAGGAAATCACAGAGAAACAGTAGAACTGCAGATTCAACTCTGGGGGGACAGTGAAATTAAGGGATATGCAGAGAAGGAAGAGCCATGAGGAGATACTAGGGAAGAGCAGTATTGGTGAATGTGTACAAGGGGAAAATGCCAATATGTTCAGTCGAAACAATCCGAATAGCAGCACGAGGGAATTTCCTTACTAGGTTATTTACAATCCATACAGTGGATTGCAGCGCAACCTTTTACACACACACACACACACACACACACACACACATACATACATACACACATACATACACACACACACACACACACACACACACACACACATACTTATTTTTAGGTTTATTTATTTATATGAGGTGGGGGGACAGGGAAGAGAAGATCATCGGCTCTGTGCAGTCAGCATGGGGCTCGACCGCACAAACTGCGAGATCACCACCTGGCGCGAAATCAAGAGTCAGACGCTTAACCGACTGAGCCATCAGCTCCCATGCGCTGTGCCTTTAAAAAAAAAAAAAAAGTGATGTGACGGGAGAGATGTTGCCCTCATGAAAATATTTGACACATTATACGAAAACAAAGAAGGGTACAAGTAGTAGTTCATTTTCATTTCTTCAAATGTGTATGTGAAGGATGGAGGAAAGACTGGAAAGAATTCTACAGACGTATTAGCTGTTTACCTATGGGCAGCAGGTTCGTGGGTGATTTTTAAATTCCGTTCAATAAAATATGCATTAATTTGTAAAAGGAGAAAATACTGGGTGGGTGGGTGCGTGGGTGGGTTGAAGTGTTTAAAGGGTGGGACTCAGTGCAAAAGGGAGAGTCGCCCCCAGAAGATTCACTTCTAATTTGTGAAACCAGAGGGAACAGATGGTGAAGTTGAGCCAGTCACCGGAAGTGCTGTGCTCAGGCACTAGGCCCTTTCTGAGTTCTGCCTTTGAGGCATGTGGCTTGGATTTCATGCTCCTGTCTCCCTCTTTTGTCTGTGCGGGTTTGGCTCACATGTGTGTCTGAAGGCTCAGTGACCAAGAATTCTCTCCCATCTGGGGGGTAAGGCCCCCTTGTTCCTTTTCATTTCTTGCTTTTAAAACGGAGGAAAATATTTCCAGCGTTTCACAAAGGGCTTTGAAGTCTAGTCACGGGGAGTACTCTGTCACCTCAAGCTGGTTGTTAGCGTGCAACCTGTTTGCTAATAAACCAATGCGGGACCCTGGTGTCAAAATGCTTAAAATGGTCGAATCAGCGGGGACTCTGTTTCTGCATTCGACATGCCTTTCCCATTTTCCAGCCTCATGCAGAACATACACCTGAATCAGGAGGTGGCTCGGCGTGAACTCTTGTAAATTGGAGTGGGTATCTAGGGACTGGGGAGCAGACACTTCTTCTTTTAACCTTTCAAGACCAGGAATCATTTGGCCCCAAATCCACAATGTACTGAACCTGGGGTGTAAAAGCCGTACAGTGTATTAAATGTGAATTTGAGCCCATGAATTCTGCCCACACTGACTCTATAAAACAGCCTCTCCTTTTCATAAAGCCGGCCCATAAACGGCTGCCAGCGAAGCAGAAAGACTCCTTAGGACTGTGGCTCGCGTTCCGTCTGGGGTTGTCAACAAACCCCCTTTATGAGTGGAATAGACCTCTTGTATGTGTCGAACTTCTGGCTTTTTACAGAGTGTGTCAGGAGCCAGGCTAGGCAAGCGTTAGGCGCTGTTTGCTGAGTGCATTTATTGCCTTTGCATAATTTATGAGCTGGAGGGGTTGACCATCATCCGTCTCTGCCAGGGGCTGGCACTCGAGGCTCCGGAGAGCGGAGCTGTAAATTGGATGGTGCGCTCCTGCTGAGCTCACGGCAAAGTCCTCGGGTCAGTATGGGAATTTAATACCAGAAATGGAACTGTTTTCTCAGCGCACCATGTGGGCCCCAGTGCAGCAGAGACTGTTTTGGCAGACTCTGCGACCGGCCTTGTCGAGGAGCTGTCACTCACCCGGCATGTTGTGTGGGGAGCCTGAGCATTTTTAATCGGCTTGGCATCCGTGCTGCTTCCATAATGGATACCAGTAGGTCTCGGTTCTTCACCATATGCTTAACTCTGGAGACAAGGTGCTTCTGGGTATATCAGTAATTACTTGATGCAGAATTAAGTGGACCTTGAAATTAGAACTGGACTGTTGGAAAGCAGAAAGCTTAACACTTTGATAGAAATAACCATTCCCAGGGACATACCGCTGTTAGGATCGGTAGGGGTGGGGGCTGGGCACGGACAGCGGTAGTTCTTTTCCAGGCTCCCCACTCTTCTTCCCCCTGCACACCAGTCCTTGGGGACACGGGCAAGTGCCATGCCACAGCCTTCAGCTGTCACTGATTGCCTCGCGAGGTGAGCTGGGATCATCTGGGGAGAGGAGTCTGCCTGGCAAAATACGCTTCTCTCTTCCACGCCCTCCTGAATGATGCCTTGTCACTCTTGAAATTGCGCCCGTAACTTAGGAACCCCAACGAAAGCCTAAGCAAAGGCAATGGAAAAGTCACACCATCAGGAGAACAGAACCTCGTCTGTCTGTTGTTCTAGGCCTTCAAAGTCTTCATCTAGCCTCTCTTGACTTATCAGAATAGAGAAATTACTCATCAGGCAAAAGGAAGTTTAGACCTTCTCAGTTTGGAAGCCTGGTTGAAAACAGTGCAGTCGTACTTGGTTAAAGCACAGTCACTAAAACTCTGATAACCTTATGGCATTGAGGAGCCGGCGAGGACAGTGAAAGGTTAGAGCCCTCCAGTCTGTAAGTTTGTGCTGTGAGTTCCTAAATACCTACAGTAGAGAGTGTAAGCTACAAAGAGGAAGCAGTCCCCAAGTTATGTCTTATAATAGCACGCTGTCCATTCGGATGGAGTTTTTGTTACTTTCGATGGAAAGCACTCTAATGGTGGTTTTTAAACAATAAGGTAACTTACTGTTACCTGAACAAAAATGTCCAGAGGTAGGCTGCTCTTAGGTTGGTTCAAGTGGCCCCATTGTGGCAGGCCATTTCTTGGCCCCGCTCTCTTGTTTTCGTACTTAGGCTTTTTGCCTCATTTTTGCAAAGTCGCTACCACAGATCCAGACGTCACATCCTCGTTCAGTCGTGTTCAGAGGCAAGAGGCAAGTGCTTCTTGCTTTTCTTCTTTTTTGAGGAGAAAAAATTTTTTTCAGAACCCTCAGCAGACATTTCCTCAAGTCTCAGCCAACGGTGTGTCTTATGGCCACCTTAGCTATAAGCAAAGTTGGAAAAGAGAGACTGTCTGGCCTTTTCAGTCTCAAAATGTCAGAAGCTACAGACTAGGGGACAGGGGCTTGCAAATGACTATGGGTATCTAGCCAGTAGTGACTGCTGTATAGGCAAATTTATTTTCTGTTTCTGTTCATAGCTACATCAACTCCCATGTCCAGGTGGCCACACTAAAAACCTTGGCATCATCCGAGACTCGTCCCTCTTCCTTGCTTCTCGCATCCATGTGTTACCACGTCCTATTGGTTCTGCCTTCAGAACTACTCTGCCATCTGTTCCTCCCTTTCTTAAACCATGCGTCATGCTGGTTTAGACAGTGTTGTAAGGGTTGCCAAACTGGTCACCTGTGACCAATGTCTTCTTCCCAACCCCAGCTCATGATCTCTCCTCTGCCCCGTGGGAAGAGTCATCCTAATGGACTATAGCTCTCATCACACCACACCTCTGCTCAGTGTTAGTGTTATAGCTTTCCCTCTGCTGCTAAACTGAAAGCTACCTTAGGGCCAGTCCTGCGTCCTGCTTGGTTGAGTATCTGTCTGGCTTGGCAGTGCTCATCAAGGACTTTTGAGTGAATGAATGAATATTTTTATCCGTTGCACATTTACTGTGACAGAATACATCCTCCCCCCCTTTTGAAATCAAATGGGTAACAAACACTCTTGGTTTAAAAAGAAAATGTGGTTTTATTTTTTTCCCCCTTTGCCTCTAATGAAGAAGCCCAAGTTTTGAGTTAACTCACGTTCTTTGCTTATCCCAAACTTAGCTGACCAGTTGGAATTTGGGGTCAGTTAGCTACAATGTGACTCTACTGTCTTAAAATAGATTTCTTTGCCCATATTGCTGATTTATTTCCCTGACCGCTTCTTATCATTGGTGTGTTTTTTATAGGCAATATTCCCTCTTTTCTCTGGGCCTCTAAGCCACAGGAAAAGGCAGCCATCACAAACTGGTGAGCCCTGCCCACTGTGTTTCTTCCAGAGTCCAAATGAGCGAATATGGTGTCCGGAGGCTTACCTCTTTTCCTGTGCAAAAGCACCGGGAGAGATCCAACCATTCACATTAGCTAAAGGTAGAAGGTCTCCATTAAGGTATCAGTTTGCTCCGAATCCCAGTGAATGACCTTGATGCACCTTAGTCCTGCGGCCGGATTGGCTCCTTGATGGGCATCCCCTCTCCCGTGCAGTGGGGGTGCTCACCATTGTGATCGAGCACCTTGCCAGACTGACCACAGGAAGAGGCACAGAGCGCAGGCGTCGAATGAAATCAACAGGGCACCTTCACAGCATTTCGCTTCTGATTCTGTGTATCATCGTTTGAACTGAAGAAACTCTGTACAGCTTAGGCAGCATTTTTTTATTTCCTCTATTTGTCTTTCCTCTTTTTTTTCTGTATCAAAAATAAAAATCTACTCAATTTTTTCACTAACCCTTATTCTCTTATCTTTCTTTTCAGTGTGACAGCGACAGTGACCAGGAAGAGAAGGTAAGATCCCCCCGCCCCGCCCCACCATTGTGGGCAGAGTCGAGCACCGTGGTTCTCGCACACGGTCACAGGGTGGTGGGATACCAGCCTGCTATTGACCGTACCTTTTCTGCAAAGACCAGCTTTATTTACACAGCGATGTTTCCTGTGATAAGAAATAATGTATTTAATATGTGAGGCCCACTTTTTTTAAACACACCCGTTAATATTGGGTATATCGTCATCAGGTTTTCACTTTTACAGATTTTAAAAGAGGAAAGCATTTTAATAGCCATCTGATTTTTCTTTTTGAATCCTTGATTAGAACATTAAACTTGCTAGCCTGCATTTGTAATGTCATTTCTTCATTTCTTTTACTGACCTCTATGCTTCTTCTCGCCTTACTGTACATATTGGCCTTCTTGATGGAAGTGTGAACGGTGTGTTTCTCGGAATCTTACCGTGGGACGAGGGGTGGGCAGGGCAAGGCAGGTGGGAACTGCTGTCTTCCCGCCCAGGTGGACGGCCAGGTGGGAGGGCGGTTCTTCCCGCAGGTACCCGCTCTGTGTGGAGGCTGATGGCCGCCAGCCTCTGTGCGTCCAGTTCAACATGGATCCGGAAAAGGAGCTCAGTTGTTGAGCTTTCAGAAGATTGGATCACAGCCCGGTAAAGTGAACTTTCTGTGCTTGAAGCAAAGGGATTATTTGTCCGTTTGGTCTTTCTTTCTAGCTGTCCCCACCCCTCAGTCAAATTTCTTGCTGATTTCATTCCTCCCTTATGAACCTCATCAAGAGTTACCCGAACGTCACGGTTTCTATATTGCTCGGCCTCAGAGGGATGGGACCTCCCCGGTTTCCGGGTCTGTCCTGTGGAGCTGGTGTTCTTGAGCCCCATTCTGTGCCTTTCACCTCCTATGTGCCTGTGGATTTCACTCAGAACCCCGCAGTTCGTGTTTGGCGGGATCTTCCCAACAGGCCCAGAATTTTCCCTCCTTCTCTGCTGCCAGCCTCCAAGAGAGATCTAAAGGCTCTGGTTCTGTACTGTCGTTAATTTGAATTCAGCATATGTAGCCTGTTATAAAATGCGAGACATCATCATTTGAGCAGGTCAAGCATATTCAGATGAAGACAAATGGTGCTTATTTGATTTCCTTAAAATCAGGAAATGAAAAAAGTGCTCTCTGGAGAAATCATGTTCTGCCTGACTTGGATGATAGACCAATGCATGTCCCCTAGATAAGAACAGGCTCTCGCCTTGAGGTTTTTATCTCTGAAGGACGGCCAGGACTGTCAGCTTGCTGACATGTGCATTATCCATGTCATTTTAAACAAAGTGACCTATGGAAGGGTGCGCTGTGCTGTGACATGGTAATGGGCTGTTGGATGACAGTGAAAGTACACACTGCAAAGGGGGCTGTGGATTATTCTTTTGTTTAACTGACAAGTAGGAGCTTCCTTCCTCCAGCCCCTGGGAGTCTCAGCTCCTTGCAAGCCGGGCCCCTGGTGTCTCAGGCAACCGGCGTGCAGTGGGTGCCAGAGGCGCGTGGGCAGCAGTAGAGGCTCAGTGTCCGAGGCGCGTCCGCTGGTCCTGGAGCCATCCCGGCCACATTCCCACCTGGCAGTCGTCACGTCGTTCTGTCGGGCATCACAGGCACTAGAGAGGGATTGGTGCTTTCTGGCCGTTCCAGGGGATCTTTTACAGGTGATGGTTGATCTCTCTTTTCAAGCCGGTGGCACTTCTCCAAGAGGATGAGCCTTGTTCTGGATTTCACATCCAAGGGGACATTCTTTCTTTAAAAGGCAGTGTGACATCCCAAAGTGTCACTGGTCCCCAGAAGTGGGAGAAGGTGATAAGGTTTGTCCGGTGTTGCATCGCATGCAGGTGTCTGGGTCAGCGGTCTCAACCTTGAATGCACATCCGAATCATCCGGGGGTGGGACGGGGGTGGGGCTGTAAAAATCCTGATGCCTGGGCCTCATCCCAGGCCACTTACCTCAGAATCTCTGGAGGTGCCTAGCAGTACTTGTCCAGATGGTCACCTAGCTCTGGTAGAGCTGTCTGTGGTTTGCGGAGTGTCCTGGGGGCCACGGTGTTTCCTACACACTGACCGCATCCCAACGAGTCCTTCCCCAGGACCCGAATCCCCGTGTCCTTGCCGCCCCGGTTCCCAACTCTGAGCGCGGGAAGCAGCGAAGCATCTGAGCGGAGCAGTGGTGGCGGGAAGGGAGCAGGGCCCACCGCTCAGAGTCAGGGACGACTCCAGGGCAACGAAGGAGAATAAGGAGATGTTTATAGCAGGTGCACGAGAGGGGTGACGACCAGCGAGGGGAGAGCCGTTAGGAGTGTCCCTCGGACCCGCCACCCCTGGGGGCTCTGCCTGTGGCCTGCGGTGGCCCTGCAGGCCCTCCTGGCAGGGAGCCGCTCCCCACCCTCACTCCCATCATCTGTCCCTGCCCCGCCACGCGCCACCCTGCGTTCCTCCAGAGGGCTCCCGGCAGGAGCAATCAAGACTGTAATCGCAGCCGTGCCTGCTTGGCTCTGTTACAGTTCAGACTGTCAGGCTTCCCCTTTTGGACTGAGATTGTCTGGTGTTTATCACCGACTTCAGCACCATCCTCCCAGACTTGTGCTGCGCGCCGAAGCCCCGGCCCCTGGCAGCCTCCTCTGTGCCTGAGCCTCTTGGCTGGGCCCCCCCTCGGAGCCCCAGAGCTAACCAAGGCTGCTTTCATGTGCTGCTGGGAGGATTCGCATTCAAATCTGAATTGCTAATGGGGGGAAAGATGCCACTCAGTGTCCTGGGATCCCTTCAGCAGCCTCACCAGGGATGCTGTTGGAGGCAAAAGTGAGACTTGTAGGGACCCACTGGGATTTCTCTCCGGAAGACCTGTCATTCTCTTACTCCACGGGGATCTGCAGAACCGGCGGTCTAAAATTAGGGTACTGTATTTCACACAGCTGACTGAATTAAGATAAACTCTGCTTTCCTCTGATACGAAGCTGTAATTTATAAAATGATACCCTTACTAATTAATGTGGAAGTGACTGGGAAAGGAGCGAAAAAAGCAGAGCTCCCCACGCGTGCAGGAGACGCACTTGTGCACGGAAAAGGCTCTGATGAGACGCTGAGCAAAAAAGCACCTCTCAACGCACCCTCCCAGCCGCGCGGGGTACGTTTCGCACTAGTGCCAGAGAACCTGGAGGACTTGGCCAGGGTCGGCGTTGGGCGGGAGTGAGAGAAGGCTATGGACGGTCCACATCCTAGATGTGGGATTTTTCTGTGTTGTAGTTAATGTAAAGCAAGGAGGAGGCGCTTTGCACCTTAATCACCCAAATGAAGCAATTATCCCAGGCTCCCATTCGAAATGAATTGCTATCATGAGAACAAAGAGGCAACGTGCATATTTCCACGTATTTGGCCTGCATTTTCTCTTGTTGCCTCTCTTCCTCTACCGCTGGCAACAGCCCATTATACTAAGAAACATTCCCTGTTTGGTTATGAAATTAATGTAGAGATTAAAAGTAGTTCCTGTTTATTGTGTGGGCCACAGGGCAAAATTGGTTGGAAGGCGTAATGCCCGGTGGTCAGGCACTTGGGCCTCCGAGTCCGGTGGCTTAGGCTGGTGCGTGACTGTCCTTTCCTACTTTGGAGCAGCGGACAAGCCTCCGTGCTCTCATCTGCCCAATGGGATTAACAACAACTCCACCTACAGTTTTGTAACAATTAAAGAAGACGCTTGACTCAGCTCCTGGTCTCTGGACCAGTAAGTGCCCATAAACGTTGGCTTTCTTGAGTTTTACTTGGAGGGAAGTGAGAGACTCACTCGGGAAAGGAGGAAGGCCACCCTCTTCTTCAGAAGGCTCCGGATCTGCCGGAAAACCTGCCTGAGGACGTGAGGCCTTCATCCCCTAGGGCGCTTCTTCCTGTTACAAGCTGAATGGAAGTGGTGCGAAATGTGGAAGGTCTCCCCCCACAATGGCTTTGAAACTCCTTATCCCAAATTTCAGGCTTTCCCCTGGGCACAACCCAGAGCCAAGCGCAAGCGTGCCATCCCGCAGGAATCTGATGGCAGCTACGTGGCTTGTAGAGCCCGTGGCCCACATGCCAAATACTGTCAGCTCCGGACACCCGTCACGGGGGAGAGGGGCCCATGCGGGACATCTGGGGTGGGGCCGTAGCAACTGTATTTTTTGAAAAGTTTCCTAAGTAACCTCGATACGCGATTTGTCTTGAGAACCACGGCCTTATACAAATGTCGGAGAGAAACACTTACTTTCCCCTTGTTTAGGGCTCTTAACAGCTTGATAGCCCGGAAGAAAGACTCGAAAGCTGTAGAGGTGTCGGGGGGGGGGTAACGTGCACCCACGTGCTTGTGTAGAGCTAACATGGAGTATACACACACGCAATACACACGTATGCGATCTCTTCGCAGATAGGAGCCATCCTCCTTCTCCTAACGTACCCGTGAACATGATGGCGGTTTCCTCTCTCTGGGCTTTGAACACCTGGAGAAGGTTGTGTGGTTCCTGTGACTTGCTCACCAGTACCTGGGACATCCTGCCGGGACGCTGCCAGGTGCACATGCAGTGCTACTGATTTCCCACACCAGCTCCCTCTCCCCCCCCCCCACATGAACACACTTCTTGGTGCGTTCTAATGTTTTGATGTGTGCTAAAATGTGTTGTGTTTGATCATTTTGTGTTCCCTTGTGTGGGAAGGGGGCAGCTTCTAAGAAGAGCAGCGGAGGCTTATGTTCCTAACTCCACACAAACCACACGCCTAACTTGGCTTCTGAAGGACTCAGAAACTGCTGAGATGGCAAACTGAAGACTGGGCATGTGGCTTGTGCTTATAGTGGAAGGGGCCCATGCCTTGATTGGCCACAATGCACACTTGGTAAAGATTGTGCACCCTCAGCAACATTCCAGAAGCTCACTGTTGCTTGTAGAACCTCAGTCCTTGGTTTTAAAATAGGACCTGTTCTGATCAGGAGACAATGAGAGACCCTGTCCTATTTTGGGAAA